AAATTTAAGAGCTCCAACCCATATTCAGGTGTGCAAATTGAACAAAGAAAAACTCAAAAACTCTTTTTAGTTGGGATATAGTGTCTGTCTACATTACATAATACATAATTAATCATAGTTATAATATTAATCACAAAGACAGTTATAGCCATATATTGTAAAACACATGCACTGAAAAATAAAAGCAACTTTCATTATTAGCTTAGAACTAATTTCTGTAACTTGAAAGAGATATAAAAACATTATCTTTTATTTTGATGGAAACGGCATTCAGCTTTTATTTTTGACAAAAAACATGGTTTACAAACGGGTCTTATACTCTCATTATAATTCTAATAAAATGCGTAATTGTCAAATATCTCTAACAAACAGTTCTCTACACTCAATGTCTCTCATGATCCCCCTCACTCCTAATCAGACACTGAAGGCGGTTTCTTTTTTTTTTTTTCACGCCATTTCTCTGCACATTCCTTGTGTTTCTTCTCCATCGCTCTGACTATTTTGACAGATACTCACTGACACTGCACGCTCTCTTAGCCCAGAGGGGGAGGTGATTAAAGATGTGATTGGACTAGCCCAGTGTCAATCAAGAAAATTTTGACCTTATACACTGCAAAAAACAAAAAACAAAAAAAAAACAAATATAAAAGTAAATTTAAGACTTAGTTATAACATAGATTTGTGATAGATCTTATATTTTATTCAGATTAGTTTTAATAAAATATATTTATTTTAATGTCCAAAAATAAACACCATATAACTTTCAGATTATTTTGTCTGCAACATTTTATGTAAGTCATTAAAAGTCCTGTTACAATTACCGTTAACAATTAACAATACATTTTTACTCCTGTTAATTTCATATTGGTGTATTTCACCTGGGGTAGTCTTACACCAAAACAAAACAACAGCAATAATGAATTTAATTAAAAATCTAAGAATTATGTACATCGAGCCACATTTACACCTGTTATAACATGAATTTTCATCAATCTGATCACAAGAAATTAAAAAGACAAATGGCTGTTTACACATAGTCACTTTAAACGTGTATGTCACCATGTGTGATTGGATTTCAACCTACTTGAAAGTGTTAGGTTTCTGTCTGTGTTTTGTTCCTTTTTTGTCGGTTCTTATCAGTGTATGGTTTTTCAGCTCATTGTGGTTTTACCAATGTACTTTAAATAAACTGCCCATTTAAATACAGCTTTTATTTCATCCTCGTTTTCAATCATCATGGCCGAAAGTAGACAAGATCAAACTCATTCAGATCCTGATTACATCTGTATATCATTGTCCCAATATGATTGTATCTAAAAAAATATATAAGTTAATGCCAAGTGTATAGGACCTTGTTTATTTTTTTTGAATCAGTGAATATTTACATACATACACATTCAATCACTAGTTTTTGTTGCTGAGAGGTAGACAGTAAAACAACAATATGGTAATCTCTACAATATCCTCGTTTATGTTTAAAAATATAAATAAGTTAAAAGATAGAAAATCATATCATGGTTTTAGCTTTGTTGTGTTCCTAGATCCATTTACCACATCCATGTTTTAGACATTCCAAATATGTATTATCAAGTATTATCAATTGTATAAGTTTTTGTATTTGAGCTAACATATCTGTTTAATACTAACAGTCTGAGTAAGTAACATTAAGCTCTCAAGTGTCTGCTTACTAAAGCAAGATTTATGACATACTCATCATATTTCATTTATTCCCACCTGCTAAAACAAGGGCTGTCTTAGAAAATGTTAATGTGTTTAAGTATAAACATTGATATATAAACGTGTAAAAATACATGTGGTGTGATTTGACTGTATTGTAAACAGCTCTGCTAAATTACAGAGCTGATTGAAACATATCCCAATGGCTGTGATCGGACGCTTTCTCACTGTGTTTTCAGTCCCTGAGTGGACTGAGCTGCAACCCCCACTACCTGCAGGACATTAGCATCTCTATGGAGAACGGCTTCAAAGGCCAGGCTGTGAAAGTTTACCTTAGACCTAAAAATACATATGCTTAAACAAGTCATCCTATACTTAAAACACTCTGAGGACTCTGCATGTATTTTTTGAGAGATTCAACAAGAGGAACTATTAATATGAGCTTTCGTTTCAGATGTGGTATAAAGGTTTAGTTAAACCAACAAAAATATGAATGCCCATGGTAATCTGCTACATCCCTATAACATCATTTGATTTATAAATGAGCAGATTTTTTATTTATTTATTTTTTTACATTGTGGTAAATTACTTTTTTCTGTCTTTTAAAATCTTTTAAATAGTAAATTAATTGGGGTTATACCAATGTATTGGTGAGTAAACAGTGAACTAGATTAAATATGCATGGAACTCCAAATAAACAACACATGGTCCAGTACTTTCTTAAAGGGATAGTTCACTTTGAAATTAATTTTTGATGTGTTTTATCTTACCTCAAGGGCATTCAAGATGTAGGTGTCTTTGTTTCCACAGTATTTTCAATTTTGACATTTTTCAGTCAAACCGTTGTTGTCTATCAGTCATACACTGGAGGCTAAGGGGGTCCACCAAAAAGCATGCACAGAGAAGTCCAAATTAAACATGATTTAATGACTCGTAAATGTAAGTACACATTGATGGCCTAAGACACGAAATGAGCGGTTTGTGTGAGAAAACCAACAGTATTTATATCGTTTTACCTCTTGTAATCACAGTGATCTGAATCTGTTGTTCAATGTCCAACTGAACCGAACTGAATCAGTTCAATGTTACGCCGGAAGTGATCGCTTGCGTGTGACGTCACTCAATATTTACACAGAGATTTCGGAAGTTTTACCTTTTACTAAACATATTTAGATATCCCGAAATCGTCTTCCATTGCGGTTTGGACTTCTCTGTGCTGCTCTTTGGTGGACCCCCTTCACCTCCAGTGTATGACTGATCAACCCGATCTCACGACCAAGTCGTACGAATTCGACGAATGATTAAAAAGTGGCTAATTCGTAACAATTCATACGACCTCACACGTACGAATTAATACGATTTTGCTAAATCGTACATATTTTACGAATTGGCCAATTCGTATGAATTCGTACGAATGACCCACCCCTGACCCCGCCCCTAAACCTAACCATCACGTGGGTTTAGACAAATCGTAGGAATTAGTACGAGTGAGGTCGTACGAATTAGTACGAATTAGACACTTTTTAATCATGCGTCAAATTCGTACGAATTGGTCGTGAGATAGTGTTGGACTGATAGACAAGAACGGTTTGACCAAAAAATGTCAAAATTGAAAATACTGTGGAAACAAAGACACCTACATCTCGGATGCCCTTGAGGTAAGATAAAACATATCAAAAATTAATTTCAAAGTGAACTATTCCTTTAATGTCGGTAATTTAATGCATTCAGTAATCTGAAGTAACCAATGCTATTATAATACATTAATTAAGTGTATTTATCTTATTCATATGAGCTCATAAAAACACAACCGTTTATAAGTTTATAGTAACTCTTAAAAAACACAACCTCATTGAAAATGGGTAGCACTTTATAAGTTTCCATTTATTAATATTGTTTTTTAACCAAATTAATGAAAATGAACCAACCACTTATTTTTTTACTAACATTAAGTTTTACTAACTTTTTTTTTGTATTTAAATAATTTGTTGGTTAGTTAGTAAAGTGAGTAAGGGATGTAGGCTACATCCAGCCGTCTATTATCGCAAAATAAACACTGAGAAGGGTGAATGACCCAGATGTGAAGTAGCCATATAGTAGCAGCTATTCACTAGTGTGAATTGAGTTGTTTTAGTTACAAAAAACAGCAATATCCTTTCATTGACATAGTGCTTAAAACTATTCTTTTGGAATGTGTGGTTAACGATTTACATTCAAGCTAGGTAAATTTGCCTTTACATATGATAATCACAGGTGATTGCAGTTTAGTAACTTCCTGCATGTTTTTATCTCGCTAGACCAGGTGTTAATAGACTACATTAAATGCTTCAATTCACTAGCAGATATACTAGCAGTGAAACAATCAGAGGCAGAATTAAGACAGAAAATCATATTGTTGTTGTAAATAAGCTATTCATCTAAGCTGATTCATTCATCAACTATTTGTAAATAACCTGTTCAGTTGTAACAAGTGTATCGACTGTTTTTGCTTCGGCACTTATTATATTGTCTGCTCTACTCTTCGCAAAAGCTGGAAAAACATTTTGGCCACAACTTAGGGACGTGAAAAGGGCTGTCACTCATTTACTTCACCTTACTTTATAGTTAATTCAACGTTTACATACTGGTGGTTGATGTAAAACGTTAAAAAAGTTAAAGTAAATAGGATTTTTAAAAGTAAAATACTTGTGTTTAGGTTCATTATGTAAAAAACAGGAATTTTACTTTTTAAATGGTTAGTTCTGTGGATATCTTAATAATATGGTATCTGTTTCTCTATGGCATTTTATTTAAAAATCTTTAATCCCAATCAGAGCATTTGAGCAAAGATTGCATTGCGCTCGACCCAATCCAAGCAAACGTTCCACTTGTGTGCCGCTCACACTCACATCTGATCAAATCCCGCTCCTACAGGTTGTTTCTCTGTGCTAGATATATCGTTCTCTTTGTCATAAACTTCTTGATCAAATGTCTTAATTGCAGTTGGCTTATGGATAACAGTTAAGATATTTGTGGATTTAACATCCTTAGCTCTTTAACCTAAAAAATGTATTAATCTTTGTGAGGAGCGCATGTAAGCAACCGGTAATTATGAATATTTTTTAACTGGAAGTTATTACAAGCACTCACTTACGGTTTCTTATTTTGGGACAAAAAAAACAACAACACAAAAATAACATAAACATGCACTTCCATTCATCATCTGAGCCACACCAAATAAAAACAAACATACATTAAAAAATACACTGTGGATATTTTGAAAACATCTTAAAAAATTGAATTAGGGACTGACTGGACATGTAAGGGGTGCAATTGTTAGAAATTATTTTTGACAGAATCAAAATGGTTTCAGTAATGGTTTTAGCTTTGTTGTGTTCCTAGATCCATTTACCACATCCATGTTTTAGACATTCCAAATATGTATTATCAAGTATTATCAATTGTATAAGTTTTTGTATTTGAGCTAACATATCTGTTTAATACTAACAGTCTGAGTAAGTAACATTAAGCTCTCAAGTGTCTGCTTACTAAAGCAAGATTTATGACATACTCATCATATTTCATTTATTCCCCACCTGCTAAAACAAGGGCTGTCTTAGAAAATGTTAATGTGTTTAAGTATAAACATTGATATATAAACGTGTAAAAATACATGTGGTGTGATTTGACTGTATTGTAAACAGCTCTGCTAAATTACAGAGCTGATTGAAACATATCCCAATGGCTGTGATCGGACGCTTTCTCACTGTGTTTTCAGTCCCTGAGTGGACTGAGCTGCAACCCCCACTACCTGCAGGACATTAGCATCTCTATGGAGAACGGCTTCAAAGGCCAGGCTGTGAAAGTTTACCTTAGACCTAAAAATACACATGCTTAAACAAGTCATCCTATACTTAAAACACTCTGAGGACTCTGCATGTATTTTTTGAGAGATTCAACAAGAGGAACTATTAATATGAGCTTTCGTTTCAGATGTGGTATAAAGGTTTAGTTAAACCAACAAAAATATGAATGCCCATGGTAATCTGCTACATCCCTATAACATCATTTGATTTATAAATGAGCAGATTTTTTATTTATTTATTTTTTTACATTGTGGTAAATTACTTTTTTCTGTCTTTTAAAATATTTTAAATAGTAAATTAATTGTATATCGCCTACTTTCTTTAAATGCTGCACCATCCCATAGTTTGATATTATTTTTGAACTTTTCCTTTATTAACTTTATCATGTTTTATCTGCCATTGATATAGGTTTGTGTTCTGTGCTCTATTTAAAATGCATGCAAAATAATACTAATTATGAAAAGTACTTTTTCCTGATCCAGTTGATGTTTACAACTGGATTTAAAACTAATTTACCAACAGATTCTACCCTTATGTTAATCTAGCTATTTGATTTCAATCACAAAACATTTGCATAACAGAACCAATAGTAATGTTGGCTAACTGTGGTTTATCCGATGGCCCAATCACTGCTCCGATAGCAGAACGTATATCTCTCTATTCCAGGTTCCTAATTCACACTTCATGTTTGGCATTTGGAAGAGCACAACTTTAGAAGACTTCAACGAGATTGTTTCCTACATTGGAGAGTTATCTTTCTATTATAGTTTAAAGATTTATCTACCTACAAGATCCCAAGATCCTAAGCGCACTGAGCCATTTCTCATCTCACTTTTTTTCTTTCCGAAGTAAAAGGTAAGTTGTACATTCTAACTTCATTTTATGATGATTTGTAAATGCTAACATTATACAATGTTTTTGCATCCTCTTACAATGTAAATGTGCATGCAGATTGGTATTATTGATATTCAGTTTCTTTTTAAAATGATTTTATAAAAATACTTGATATAAAAAGTATAGTAAAAATGTAGTAAATTATCAGCCACATTGTCATCTTTTCAATAAGTTATTGTCTACACAATTCTAAGGAGTTTTTTTTTTAGAGTATTTTCTATTTTTTTTTTTACTTAGCATATGCACTATATCCTGCATAAAATGTTCTTATATTTCACAGGAAAATGAGACCCAAAAGAGTTTCTCCTGAAAAGGAAGCCTTGTACTTCATTGCTTCGGGGAAAGATAAAGACACATTCGAGAAAAAATTAATGTGTGAAGAGAAAGGTAAGTTACGGCATTCAATTCTGCCATCAGTATGACTTTGCAAAACTTAATTAAAAGCTAAGTTTGGTCTCTAAATAATGTCGAATGGTTGGGTTTAAAATGTGTAGCTAAAAACAACAGGCTGTTAAAAAAAAACACAAGAGAAACAAAAAAACATGATTGAATCAGTTAAAGGTGGATTTATATCTGTTTTCCTGCCTGTATTTATGCTAGCTGCTGATGTCCAAATTAAACTCCATTGTGTAGATGTGCGAGTGATCTTGATATTATTTGTATGTAACTGCCAGTTAGACTCCGGGGGCCTGTTTAACAATGGAAATTATCAATATTCAGTGTCATGATACATATGAGTTTTGTAGTTTTGCACTTTTAGATGTAGATATCGTATTTGTTTTCCAAGCAGGGCTACCATTTAAAACAGTTTAGACAACCTTAACAACTTTATGAATCTTTTCTCATACTTAATTTACACTTATTTATACCCAATTTATTAGGTTTTGGAGTAATCGCCACAAAACATATTGAGCCAGGAGAATTCCTACTGGAGTATGTTGGAAGACACATGGCTGGATCTGAAGGAGAGACCCTGCTCAAAGACTACTCAGCTGAAGATGCAGTTTTTTTTATATTTCTACTCCTTTCAGGGACAATCTTACTGGTAAGATTAAATTAATGAATGTTCTAATGAAGTATAATTACATCATATTATGGTATGTTTATATACAGTGTTTTTAAAATATTTCACCATACAGTGTTGATGGCAGTAAAGCTACAGAAAATCTCGGACGATACATAAATGATGACCACATCAAGCCAAACAGCAAAATTAAAATAGTAAGTCTGTATTTAATGTTTTCGTATTGTTTGTCTTATTCTTTGTTTTAATTACTCCTTTTATAGAGCCTCATCTTGATTGTAGCATTATTTGACATTACAAACTAGACAGTTGTGGGTCTTTCAAATGTTGTTGTTTTTGTTTTCAAATGTGTGTTTGTGTACTTTTGTGACCAACAGATAATGGATGAAAAGAAAATGCCACATTTGTGTGTATTTGCGTTAACAAAAATCAAGCCAATCATACCAAAGAAAAAATCATACCAAAGCCTATGGACTAGTATGCAGGAGTGATCCAGCTCTCAGATTTCATAAAAAATATCTTAATTTGTGTTCGGAAGATGAATTAATGTCTTACGGGGTTGAACAACATGAGGGTGAGTAAATACTGACAGAATTTTCATTTTTGGGTGAACTAACCCTTTAAATGCTTTGCTTAAGTTGATGAAGACCTCCACTGTGTATTGCTTTATCCTCAGTTGCAGATGTAATTTTTCCTATGAGTTCAATTAATGCCAAAGCAGTTAATCTTTTTTATCTCTAAAGCCATATTGTTTTTCATTAAATAATTTGTGTTTTTCTAAAAAAAAAATTAATTTTTGAGCAAACAACTTTTCAAGGATTTTAGAAAACCGAGAGAGCAATGACACTGGTCTGTAGTTGTTAAAGTGTAGTTATACATTTCTCCCAGCCCTGCAAATCTGGTCCTCTAGTTATAAAGGAGCCCAAAACCCTTTAAAATCAGCAACAGACCAGTCTGACCAGTTAGACAGTCTATCTCAAACCAATAGACTATCTAGTTTAAGCCCCCCCCCCCTTTCTAATAGATTGATCAGATAGCGCCCCTTTAATCTTTTCTATTTTACCTGTTCATAATCATTTTTGCATGAATTGAAACGCATGATTGTTCATGATTTTCATGCATGATTTAAATTGTATTATATTACATTATTATTATTCATGTATTTAATTTTATTCATGTATTTAAATGTATATATGTAAATGTAATGTGTTTGAAAATACACAATAAACCTTGAGCAGTTAAAGCTTCAATTGTTCTTTTTTCTATTTCCTATAGTGCTACTGTGCAACCTGTAGAATATGTAGAAAATCCATAGAAATATTATTTTAACTGTTAAATAATACTCTATTTCTACGGATTTTCTACATATTCTACAGGTTACACAGTAGCACCAAATAAATACAATAACATTTCATAACTGTATAATACTATACAGTATTATTAAAAATTAACAGTGTAATACTGTACTTTAATATGGTAAGAAATTACAGTAAAATAATGTTATTTGATTTTACAGTATGCTTAACAGTACTGTAGTTAGTGTTAAAGTAATTTTATTGTTGAATGAAATACAGCAAGTACTGGATAATTGTTGCCAGTAAGTTACTGTTAATTTGACAAGACATTTTTTTACAGTGTATTTTATACAGAATATAAAAAAAGGATAAAACATAATGGACAGATGTGTTGGGAAATGGCAGTTGTATTAACAATATGGCATTAAAATATATTTTGAGCCACCAATCCTACTCCTACCCCTAAACCTACCCCTAACAATTCGTTAAAACTACGTAAACTAACGTTACAATTATGAAGAAAAACGTGACTAACAGAAAAGTATAATCACAATAATATATTTATTGCGAAAATGTCAAAACCGCTACCAAAAGCCGTTCACATGAAGATGCTTTGCAGTCGCAGTCCTCTCTGGCAACATTGTAATAGTTTTGTATGAAGTACAGAGCAGAATTTAAATTAATAATCAATGAAAATGTTCATCCGGCTTCAGTTCGCAGCTTCGCACTATTTCAAAAGAACTAAACCAACCGTCACAGTCCTTCATGTCTCAATCTGTGATGAGGCAGGGAAGAGCCAATGACCATTTGATATCTCTGCCGTAAAACACGACGTATCGCTTCTCAAGGGCGCGATTTTTGAATTTGAATTCATCACCAGCGCGGGATTTGACGTGTACGGTTGCTGCTGAGAATGGAGGCGAAGATCACGACTGGATAAAAGGTTGAATTAGGATTTTTTTTCTTGTAAACAACGTAGGCTATGGATTCTAAAGATTTGGATTACATCAAACTAATAAAATTGATGTCTTTTGTGAATTTATGTTTTGTTTTATAGGAGAAAACACTTTCTGTGCCTCACGGCAAATAAACTATATTACAAAATGGTTAAACGAGTAAAGTTAAAGAATGTATTTTTAAGGTTTTATAGTGTATTGTTTAACACCATGCAGGCGAAACGAGCAAAATGTTAATATTTATGAGTATTATATCAATAAATGAGACTGAAAACGTAATGAATAAGACAGTTGAATGCAATAGAGTCAAAACATAATGCTACGATTTTAATATGCATAAATTGTGATATGTACAAATGTGTACATCGGTGGATTTGTTCAAATGTAAATAAATTACGTTTTTGTGCTGTCAATAACGTAAATATTTTACATTTTAGTTCTGTAAATACGTCAGTATTATACGTTTCTGCGCATATAAAACGTAATTATATGTACGTATGATAGAACTACACTTTACGTACAAATGCATACGTATTCTCATGAGATCACATTGGATTTTAGTCGACTAAAATATAATGGGTTTAGTTAAATTGTAATGCGTTAATTTAGAATTTAGAATAGAATAAAATGTACAAACCCATACACTCCCGAAGAAAACATCTATTAACCTATTAATATAAATGATTTAAAAGTCTGAACATGCAATACAGATACGGATTTAACTACTGTGATTTAAAAAATATCTTAAAATTAAATAAAAACCACTTTTCCTAAAGTACAACACAGCCTTTTCAATGGATGATATACAGTATGCATTCTTTATAACCATGCATACATCCTTCTTTATTCTTTCAAGCAGAAATATTCTTTGTGTAAATTAAATATAATTAATCCTTATTATACTAAAGCTATTAACAAACTGTGATTGCTTTTCTCTTTTTCTTTGGTTGCTTGATCAATATTAAGGACACAGACCACATTATGTTTGTTGCCACTTTCACTTTAAGACGTCGGATTATTTCCAATGACATGCGGATCCAATTGCACTGATGCACATCCGATACACTCACAACTGTTTAAGACATAACCGACATAATTTACATGAATACTGTCCAAAGCGGACATTTAAAGCACTCAATAACCTTGCCCCTTCATATTTATTGGACCTTCTTAATATCTATATTCGATCTCGGACTTTAAGATCGTCTTCCTCGCTCACTCTTGTTCTCCCTAGAACCCGCACTACTTCTATGGGGTCCCGGGCTTTTAGTTTTGCTGCTCCTTATTTATGGAACCTGCTGCCACAGGATGTGCGAAACAGTGAAAGTATTCATGTTTTTAAATCTTGCCTTAAGACCCATCTTTTCCGGCAGGCTTTTATGTTTTATGTGATTTTTATATATATATGTGTGTGTGTGTTAGGGCTGGGCAAAAAAAATTGATTTTTCGATTAATCGTTTTTTAAAATGTGGCCGATTCCAAATCGATTCTCAACGGCCTCGAATCGATTTTTTCCATATAAAGGGCTCGCGGACGCGGTGCGGCGTCTTCTCGTCTCACTGCACTAGGCAAGCACTAAGCTAGGGTTGAAACGATTCCTCGAGTTACTCGAGTTACTCGATTACAAAAATTCCTTGAGGCAAAAAATCTGCCTCGAAGCCTCGTTAAATGACGCAGTTCCTATGGCGCACGCAGGGATCTGATTGTTTCACACGGACCGTTATTCAGGAAGCACACCACAGCGCATGATACATATGACTTCATAAATTGCAGAGAATGTCTAAAGTTTGGGATCATTATATGTTTATAAAGGGAGAGAACAAGATGCAATGTGTCTGCAAAGTATACCTGGCAGGGCTGCCAACTCTCACGCATTCAGCGTGAGACTCGCGCAATTCGATTTTTCACGCTGCGTGTATATCCCTTCGGTCAAATGCCTGAAAGATGAGTTCGTCTATAGATCTACCTGTTGAGCCACTCGTGATCGACTAGTTTTACCGCCGCATATTAATTCGCAAGTTAAAATATCCTGTAATCTAGTGCGAGCGCGCATGCGAGATGTTGAGCTCCTAACCGCGGCTCGCGCACGACGGCAGAGAGGTAAGCGAGCGCGTGCACCCATGTCTCTCTCACGCGCCAGTCAGACCAATTGCGGCAATTCATCATATGCTTAAACTTTTATGTAGCCACGCAACAAAAATTTCAGCATACATTCACCGGGACGTGATGGAGGAACAAATATTGTGAGACACACACACACACACACTCTGATGTTTGTCTTGAGATTACAGTTGAAAAAGTCTGATTCTTATTTATAATTGTTTTATTTCCATTTATTTATTTTTTATAAATTGTACACATTTGTGTACCTGTTTGGGTTGATATTTTATATTAATATATTTTTGTTTCCAGGTGGGTAATTTGCAGAAGGTGCAATCCTTTTTTTGTAATGTTGTATTAAGAAGACAAAACTAAGGCCAAATGGGCTTTACTATTTAAGTTTGTATTCAAAGTTTTACATGTTATGGGCTACATGTAACAGGTTTTACAGTAAATTGTTTTAACTGTATTGTTATATAATTGTTGGCACTGGCACTTATAAACACGGGTAAAAATTGCAATAATTAGTTGTGGAGCCAAATGTTGCAGTTGGAATAAATACCTCTATTTTCTTTTAAATAAATAAAAGCCAAACACCTTATCATTTTCGTAATACATTATTTGTTTTGGTTGCTTAAAAACACACATAAACAAATTATCCGATTACTCGATTAATCGATCGATTAAGTGCTAGATTAATCGATTACAAAAAGAATTGATAGCTATACACTAAGCGCTGCAGCTGTCGATACACACTCGCGTTTAGGAGTCGGGACACGACGAAATATTCACTTGCACAATCGGGCCAGCATTGCATCGTAACCTATGATGGTAACTAACGTTTATAATTTTCACGTCTTTTTAAGTTTTAGTTTAAACATTCAAGCAATATTAAACCATCCCGTGCTCGCGCACTCTCAGAGATGTCTTTCACTGCGTGCACATACAGTAAAGCCAATCCGCCTCAAACAGCTCGCCTGAAACAAACGTTTTATCCCTGGATTATATCGCTTTAACAGTTAAAAACACGCAACATTATGTCAAAACTCTGGTATTGGTGAGTAACCTCGTAAAGACAGTCTAATGTCTTAAATAAGCATTAAACGCGTGTGACAGACAGACAGTACAAATGAGACAGGGATCCGTTCTTAAAGTGAACGCAGCCATATGTGTCTGTCATTAATTCTG